TTATTTATTTATTTATTTATTTTTGCCCTAAGTGCAGTATCTTTGGCCCAGGTTTCTAATCTATTAAGCTTTCTAATCTATATGAACCTTAATGTAGTATACAAAAGATTATTTGGAAGCTTTTTTGGACACAATAAAGACCAGCATAAGCACAATTTCTGTTGTAGAGGGTTGTTTTTTTGTGCTCACCGCTAGAACTTACATTCACATATTATAATAATGTTTTTGTTGATTAGTGGTATAACGTGAATGTTAGTTATAATGGTGACGTACAAAAAGTATACAATGATAGGAGCAGAAATTGTGCTTATGTTAGTCTTTAGTGTGTCTATTTTTTTTGCAAATAATTTTTTATATACAACATTAACTCCTGTTCTGGTATTGCAAGCTCTGGATCCCTTACTGAGACTGCATCCACACTGCAGAAATAATCCAGTTTGACACTATGTTAACTGTCATGACTCAGTGTTATGGAATTCTGGGAATTGTAGATTGTTGTGACACCAGAAGTCTCTAACAGTGAAGCCTAAGAGCCCTGGTGGCGCAGTGGTTAAATGCGTGTACTGCAGCCACTCACTCATAAACCACAAGGTTGCGAGTTCAATACCAGCCAGGGCTCAGGCTAGACTCAGGCCTGCATCCTTCCGAGGTCGCTAAAATGAGTACCCAGCTTGTTGGGGGGCAATTAACTTACAGTTGTAAACCGCTTAGAGAATGCATAGTGTGGTATGAAGCGGTATATAAATGAAGCTGCTTTAAGTATCTCACAAAATTACAGATCCTGGAATTCCATAGCATTGAGCCATGGCAGTTAAAGCGGTGTCAAACTGGATTATTTATCCAGTGTATATGCAGCCTGAGTCAATCCATCTGCAATGTGTTTTTTGTATTTTCCTGGTGGCTTTCTCTTTACCAAGCATTTCCAAAGATCATGTCATCTCATGGTGTGTCCAAAGTATGACAAACGTTTTCTCTTTTGCAGGCTGAACTACCAATTCTATTGCACTTCCATATAACATCTGACCCCTACCTCCTTCTCTGTTATTTGGAGGGGATGATTTAGATCAGATATTTCATCCCAACAGGTAGAGGCAATGGTTACAGTTTAAAACATCTAAAAATCCCCTGGATGGAGAAGTCTGCTATTCACACTTAGGTGGAGTGCAGATGGGTGGCTCTGGGCTGCCTCAGGAAGTGGCGGATCGGAGCCGTGGCTATCCCATGCCACGGCCCCGATCCTCCCTTTTGCTACCCTGAAAAGAGCAGCAAAATGCCGCTCCTTTTAGGGGCGGCAAAAGGGCACCCTAAGAGCCAGCGCACGGCATCAGGACGGTGTTGGCATGGGGTTGGGGCAGCCGGCGTGCGGCTGCCCTGCTCCATCTCTGCCTCCAGGCCAGCCCTTTGGGCCGGTCTGCAAAGGCCCATACTTACCTGGGACTAGGGTCTAATCTACATTGCTGAAATAGTGCAGTTTGACAACATAAATGCAATGGCTAAATGGTATGGAATTCTGGGATTTGTAGTTTTGTGAGATATTTAGCCTTCTCGATCAGAAAGCTCTGTTGCCACAACAAACTACAAATCTCAATATTCCATAGGATGGAACCATGTTAATTAAAGCAGTGCCAAACAGCATTATTTCTGTAATGCAGATTAGACCTACATCCTATTAAATTTATTGGTACTTACTTCTGAGCAGCATGCATAGGATTGCCTTTTTCAGTGATATGATCCTGCAAGATTGTGTGCATTTTTTGTAAAAAAAAAAAAGTTTAGCAGCATTCTATACTAGTTGAACACAGTAAGATGAAATAGCCCGAAAATACATTATTTTAGAAATGCATCGAGAAGCTGGGCAGCAGTTTCTTTTCATTTCTTTTTTTTTTTTCCTAATTCAAGATCATAGTCTTTACATGCATTAACAATCTTGCTGAGATGGCTGCTGTTGCAAATACAATCTTGAGGTAATGTATAGTACTAAACTTGGCAAAATGATTCGCAAAGGACCTGACTGTTCAAAATAATCATGACTTTTTTTTGGGGGGAGGGAGAGAAACCATCTGTTTACTGTACACTTTTGAAGCCAGGATAACAAACTAGAATTTCACATGGTTTGAGGCAGTCTGGAAATTTCTGCATCCCCAGGAAAGCCACTGCATTACTGGGTAATCTGAAGAAAGGCTAATTTGTGATGAGAATTCCAGCCAATTTTCTTGGCTGGAAAATTATAGACAAGATAGGAAAACTTTTTAACATCTTTATGCTGGCCCATTTCATAGTATTGCTTGGTTTGGGTTTGTTTGAGGTTTATTAGGCCAGCATAACTAGTGTTCAGAGGACAGGGCTGAGAGTTATCCATTGGTCAGTGGGCTACTTTTTTAAGGACAGAGGCTTCCATATATCTTTGTGCAGTATGGGTTAGTAATACTGATCTACTGCAGAGTTGTGGGAAGATTACTGTGATATTTTCTACGAAGCACTGAGCATTGCCAGGCTATATATGAGATGGGGCTCCTGTATCTTCAATAACTAACATATTCAGGAAGACTTGTGTAAAATTATGTCAGATGAAAGTGATGCCATCTTCTACTTCACACCTGAAGCCTTACAACTGGGTGAAGGAACACAACGGGATGCTTCTCGGCCAGCCTCCTCTCTGCTTTTCATTGTCCAGTAAATGTCCATGGGGGAGGCAAAACCTGAAAGATGGGTTTGGGGAGTTGATGGAGAAGACTTTACATAGTGGAACTTTACGTTACTCTTTCCAGGATATGATAACTATTAACAGTACGGAAGCCCTGTTCTTATATTCAACCTTGCTGGTTAGGCTGGTCAGGTGCCTTCCATGTTATTTTTCCACAGGCAGGTGAAGAGCTGAAGAAGAGACCAAGTGGTGGAAGAACCCAGAAGACAGAAGGGAATGAAACAGTGAAGAAAGAAGTGAATGGTCACTTGTAGGACCCGGAGCTGAATTCAGAAAAAAAAGGCAAGACTGAGCTGGGTCTGCACTGGACAGGCAGAGGTGAAGACTCCATTGACAGCAGCCCTGAAGGGAGAGCTGAATGCCAAAGAGTGAGGAAAGAGCTGGATCTGGAGTATCAGCTGGTGCAAGGGAGTAAGGGGGGCTGCAGACTGCCAGAAATAGTGCAAATTGAGTCCAC